AAGCCAACGAACAGAAAAATAAAATTAAAAAGGCATTCATGTGAGGTAAATGACCCAATTCTGATCCTTTCTTGTGGCTCGTTTTCAAATCATCTAAGGTTGTTTTATTAATGATATGACATATTAAACCATGTTTATAGATATGTTTCAGTATTTGGAAGGATCACCTTTCTCCTCATACAACTGAACAGCCTCCAATAGCAATGAATCCACCTCATCTCCTTTCATGACATCTTTTGGCAAATTCCAAATCCAGTCGGCTAGCTTTCGATACCAAAAACAACGAAAAGCTCAACATGCAAAGAGTGACCAATATAAACATCATTTTTGACGCTATCATCCTCCATAAGGCTGAGTTTTTCATCTGCCAAAGCCTTAGCATCCTTCTTTTCTGTTTCTTCGTTCGCTTCTTGGGTTGTGGATTGGATTCAAGTTGGGTCTGTTCTTCCTCAATTTTGTCCTTCATGCTTCTCTTGTTGTGGTCGCCACTATCACCCTCATCGCTTCCACCACTTTCCATCACTTGTCCACTTGTTGTCTTGTTCTCATTCATATTCGATGAGGAAAGCGAAATGGATGATGTACCCATTCCATCCGTCATCTCCTCGTTCTTTTGTGACATCACATCTACTTTGGGTTGTGCTAACATGGCCAAATTCGAAAATTGCTCCCCATTCACCTTTAATTTCATCAAAATTCAATAATTTTAACCAATGTAGGTGACAAGTAGTCCTCTTTCAAATCATCCAATAGCTCTGTGAACTGCAACGGAGGTAAATGATTATTGAAAATCTGCAAATCGTTTCTTCTCTTATACATGTACAATGCATAAAATAAGTGATGTAAAATATAGAGATAGGCCTTCACACGAACGCTTCTTCTTCCCAATACATATCGATTAATGTTATATCGAGCAATATGAATCATCTCGTGAAGATGATGTCTTCTGCACATGACCATGACACATGGAAATCCACTTTGAAAACATGTCTACAGCCCGTGGATGCATGTAATACACACACGGCGATAGCAATGCAAATACAATAGCTCTATTTGATTTGAATAACAAATCCGCAGCATATTTTACATCATATCCAAGAAAATTACATTCAATTTTGAGCTTTTTTGAACATTTTCTGTTCAATGTTGATGAATGGTGGCTCTCATCCTGCTCATAATTATTATTATCACTCATGCAACAATAAAACGAATGTCTACTCGTTGATCGTTTCAATAAAACATTCCGATCCAATTCAATGTGAGTCTCTTTCTTTATCGTTTGTTGTTTGTTCTGAATGGTAATGTAATACTTCCAATCTTTGGTATAAATAAAATTCAAATCAAAATCACTCTCTAGTGGCTGTTCCCAATTGTAGGCTCTATGTTTCAAAAAGTGATGATGAGTGTTGAATGAATGAAATAAAATCATTCAACAAGACTATTACTACACACCTACTTCCCACATCGGAAACCATCAAAATGGTAATGCCATACTCCTCCTCCATACATTGAACTTGCTTGAAAATTTCATGTTGGATGGCTGTAAGATTCTCATCATCAGCATGCTGCTGGTCGTGATGAGGATGATGAAGCGGCGTGTGGTCATCCTTTGCGGTGTGCTTTGACTCTCGTTCTCTCAAAAAGACATTTTTTTACGAAATTTTGTAATGAATTAATATTTTGTGAGGACAATCTTTTCCACTTTGCTTAAGTATTAAAAATCGTTGGTAGAGATAATCAGGATTGAACCAGACATTAATGTGCATTGCATCTTGATTCGTTTTTCATGTGAATGCTAAAAATTGGATTCAACCCATTGGAGGACAACAAGTGACCTGTTAGAGCATACGTTGTTTGTAAATTTAATTTAATTTACAACATTAAGAATGGCTCTACCAATCAATCCAATGATTCATTATGGAGAGACCATTTCAAGCATTTTTCTGAGGAGAAAAGAATTTGTCGAGAAGGTGAGGAGGAACTTGACCAGCGTACATTCAATGCCCAAACAGCCATTGATGTAATCTGGTTCCAATCTTACATGGAGGACTTGGGTAACAGCATGGAAGAATTCTGTGACTCTTCTTGTGTTATAATAACTGTCAAGTACAGATGTTTCGATACCTTCTAATTTCTGCCTCCATGCTACATTGTTGATGGTAGGTTTTTCTGGAGCTTGAGCTTTGTTTGGTGGTTCTGATCAAGCCAGTATCCACCATACCCGTCTTCGGATGAATTTTCTTGTTGTTGTTGATGCTGTTGATGATGTTGGTTTTCTTCTGTGTGGTCTTGGAAGACTTCTCTTTTGGCTGTTGAATGACTGTTGTTTAAGCAAATTGTAATGTATGCATATGTGATGAAATTGTTTTTTGATAATGTCAGAGAGTCACATCTCATGTCTCTTAAATGTTGACCAATAATTCAACGCACACCCGTGTTGAAAACGACGTACGTTGTCCAACATCAAAAAAATGTTCCGAACGTTCGCCGGCGTTGCTCTACTACTGATTATTGTGTTGTCGACAACAGTTGTGTTGAAGTGTTTGGCCACTCGTGGTCATGTTTTAGATGGTGGCCAAACACTTCAACAGGAACTCGCTTCTGAATTTGCTCAAGCGTTTGCAAAATATTCCGAAATCAATGAACAGGCAGCAGCATCATCACAACAGGGCGGCCGACATCAATGGAATAGTGTGGAAAGAATTCAATCGTCCCCTTCTTCCTCCGATTCATCATCACTCTCGAATCATTTTGTTTTAAAAACACGAATGGAGAATGATGATCTTGTCAACTCGATTGCTCACAAGTACGGTTTAAAACGTGTGCGTAAAATTCCTTCTTCGGACGGCAGTGTCAATTATATTTTGCGTGGTGTTGGTGTGATGGACGAGTCGTATGGTGATCTCTCCAATGTGGATACTGTTCGGGCCATGAGTGGCACAAGTGCTCTGCTCACCACACAAACTCTTCAGAATATGGTCAAGAAAAATTCGGACACAGTGCTCGAGTTTTATAGAGCCAAAAAGCAAAACTTTTCAAAACGATAGCTCTGTGACGGAGCTCTCTGTATGGAAAGAGTAGTTCATCAAGTTAAATCATGATGATATCAAAATAGGCCGGTTTTGAAAGAATGAATTTAAAAAATTT